GATAGATCGTGGCTTTCCCTGAGGAGAAAGTGTTTTTAAAATCCCTCCCACTACCAGAAGCCTGGTCAGGGAAGTAATTACGACAGCAGTATTTCAGTGGTCCAGGAAGACAGGGATGAGGTAGTAAGTAACCCCCAACAACAGCAAAATCCCAATGGCAGCCAGTATAGCACACAGATACCCCCTGTAGTCTATCATTTCCAGAGGTGGAGCCAGGCCTTAGGAGCTCCCCAGCAGCAGATGCAGCATGTCCCTCCTTACAAGGCTCCATAGCGGCTTGGCAGTGATGTTGATAGTGGGGATGGAGCCAGGCCTCTGGATTGGTGGGGTACTAGGTGGCAGATTATGGTGCCTGGTGGGGTGGAGTTCTGGGGAGGTGGGTGTGTTGGGCATTAGCTGTAGTCCAGGCAGGGATGGGCTGTGATGTCTGGGGGTTGTTTACTGGTGGTCTTCACTGGCTAGTGTGTGTGAATTGCTGGGGTGCGTAGCATGCCAAGGGTTGTGTGTGTCTGTGCTGCGGCACCAGTGGAGTAGGACACTTCATTCAGAAGGGATTAAAAGGGTGAACTCTAATGTTTGTAAAGTGTTTTGACGTCCCTAAGTGAAAAGTGTTATAGAAATGCCAAATATTATTTTATAGTGAATTCAACCTACATAAGGGAGATAAATGTTTAGCACTGGGGAGAAGATGCATTGAAGCATATTCCATATGAAGGCCAAAGCATAGTGTGGTGGATAGGGTACCAAACTGGGAGCCAGGGACTGCAGGGCCCGCTTCTCCATTGCCATGCACCTTGTGTGGTCATTTACACCAGTGCAAAGTGAGGTGGGTGTAAAACGCTCCTTCACTTTGCACTGATATAAATGACAATACAAGGCGTAGCGCAATGGAGACTCAGGGCCCTTGGTTCCATTCCAAGCCCTGCCTCTGAACTAATGCACATCCTTGGTCAGATTACTTCTTTGTGCCTTTGTTTCCCCTCCCATTCTTCATCTGTCTTGTCTATTTAGACTGCAAGTGCTCTGGGCCATAGATTCTCTCTCACACTGGGTTTGTACAGCGCATAGAACAATGGAGTGCTCATCTCAGTAGGTGCCTATAGGCACGACTGTAATACAAATAATATAATGTAGTAAGGGACTAACCAGTGTAAGGTAAAGAAAGGCTGTTCTGAACTATCGGATTATGAATAGACACACAAAGAAAACAGAACAGCATACAAAATGGGAGAGCAGATAACCCGAAATAGCTAAAATAATTGTTACAAAATGCAGCATATAAAATAATAAAACAAGAACTCCAGAAAAACAAGAGAGAAAAATGATAGACAATACTAACAAAATGTAACATATGCTGGAAGAGAGCGATACAAAGGATGGAGAAAAATTTCCATCATGCAACTTCCATGACACAGTCAAGAGAAATGGAACATAACCAGGGGGAAGCATACAAAAGCACATAGAAATGCTGGGCAGGGAAAAATGAGCACAAGCAAAATAATTCTTGGTTTTTAGACAAAACTTGACCAGAGAAATATAAAGAAAATATAAAGCAAAATAAAAATAGAGATATTGAATCATACAATAAGTTTCAGAGTAGCAGCCGTGTTAGTCTGTATCCGCAAAAAGAACAGGAGTACTTGTGGCACCTTAGAGACTAACAAATTTATTTGAACATAAGCTTTCGTGGGCTACAGCCCACTTCATCGGATGGATGCAGTGGAAAATACAGTAGGAAGATATATATATACACAGAGAACATGAAACAATGGGTGTTACCATACACACTATAACGAGAGTGATCAGTTAAGGTGAGCTATTATCAGTAGAAGAGAAAAAGAACTGTTTGTAGTGGTAATGAAAATGGCCCATTTCCAGCAATTGACAAGAAGATATGAGGAACTGCGGCGGGGGGAGGGAATAAGCATGTGGAAATAGTTTTACTTTGATGTTTTTGGGCCAGATCCTGAGCTATGCTCCTTTACACCAGCTGGGGATCTGGCTCATTACACTTTGGGATTATGAAAGATGACACATGCAAGGACATTTCAAGATTAAAAATGAATGATGTGAAGAAGATCAAATTAATAGATCCTACACTGAGGGAAAGGCAGCCAAAAATATAAGGAGGATATTATGGATGTGGACATAGAAATTAAATTAGAATATTATTACAGCATCCAGTCTCTCTCTGCCAATACCATTGCTTCCTACAGTATGTTTCCTGTTTTAGAAGTCCTAAGCAAAAGGGTTTCCACCACTTCCCAGGGGAGCTTATTCTACAGCCTCATACACCACTTTGTCAGGCTTTTCATGATGCTTGGACCACATTTTCTTTTTCTTAATATCAACCCCTCACACTCAGTTATACCCTCATCTATCACATTAATTTGAATCTGCCACTGCAGGTTTTTACTGGGAATTGAGGGATATAGCCGCTAACCATGATGTTTATTCTTTCTTGATCATTCTGCTTTCGGCAGGACTAACCCCCCGTGATGCTGAGCATGTTTTATATAATGCATAATTTGCTCCTGTCTACACAATCATTGCTAAATGTTTATTTTGTGCGAACTGGTCAGGTGAGAGGCTGCAGTAGCAGCTTAATTCCTCTGGATGGCAGAGCTGGACCACCCACACACCCACTTTCTCTTTCCAGACTCTATAATGGTGTGACACCATATTGCGATCAGCATTAACTACAAGGGATACTCGGTCCAGAATGAACGTTGTCAGACTATGAAATATGGGGAGGTGTTATTTAAGAAGCAAAACATTGACCGTCTCATGACCATCTAGCTGCAGAATGAGGGCCTGATCTAAAGCCCTTGAAATCAATGTGGCCTTCATTGACTTCAGTGGACTTTGAACCAGCCCCTAAATTCTAATTCTGTCTGCTGCACCCTGGACTACTCATCATATTCAAAAATCACGAGAGACTTAAAAATCATGAGATTTGGGGTTCATTTTATTTGTCTTCTGGTTCCTGACCATTTAGGGTGCACTCAGATCATATTTTCAGTCTCTGCAACCATGAAGGCTAGAAACTTACTTAAAAAACCATGAAAGCTGAGATTTCCAGCTAATAACAGGACTCCAGGAGCTGGGTCCTTAAGAAAAACATCAAATATTTCAGACACGTGCTAAAGTTGTGAAAGGTAGCACCACAGACTGAGAACAAACAACGGAGAGGTGCGCTGATGTTATTCAGACTCTTAAAATATGTCCCAGTAGTTTGGTGGCAATTATTATGTGCATAATAGCAGCACCCAGAAGCTCCAAGAGAAGACAGAGCTCCATTGTGGTAGGAACTATCAATACACATAGCAAGACAATCCCTGCCCCAGAGAGCATACAGTCAAAATAGATAAGACAAAGGGTAGAAGGGGAAAAAGAGGCACAGAGAAGGGAAGTGAATTGCCGAAGGCCACACAGCAGGTCAGAGGCAGAGCTGGGAATAGAATATAGGCTTCCTGCCTCCTAGTCCAGTGTTCTAGTCACTAGACCCCATCTGAGAATCTACATATATCTTGTGGTTATTGCATGCTCTATGCCATGCAGTAGTTGACTGACAGGAACATTATAAATGATGTTGGCACTGTTTGCTAGACCATATCGCCACAAGCTCTATCTAAAACCAGGTGGGGTCAGGAGCATGCACCATCCAATTAACATTAGATTTCCTAAGTCAATGCTCTGCACTACAACAATGTCCATGTCTATTCATACAGTTCTACAGCCAGTCCTTAAAAATGCCTGTGCTGGGGAAAGCTGTCATTTATACCCTTCCATTCCCTTCTTCTAGTGATCCTGTCTCCCTCCCTGCCCCCCTTTCTCCATCCCCACCTTCCTTTCCCAAACCATCCACGTTCCCCATCTATCCCTCCCACCTCCCCAACACCACCAGCCCCCCTGAAGTCCCACCCAAACTCTTCTCCACGCTTTTAAACTGCTTTGCCATTCCAGTCTCCTCTGCCATAGCCCATGAACCAGTCTCCTCTGCCATAGCCCTTCCACTACTACCCGATTCTCAGTTCCCCTCCATCACTGAGCCCCCTCCCCCACAACATTAATTACATCACACACAGGCTGGGCTCATCTTGAGCCATCAGTTGCAGAACAAGACACCTATATTCTGGGGAAGCAGGGAATTCTAATTCCCCCCCCCAAACACAATGCACTTGCCCCTTTGATGTTCCAGGCATAAAACATGAGATTTTCTAATTTATACAAAAGAAACCCAACTCAGGCCAAAGTAACCTGCTTTCAAAAACAAGCACATCTTTAATCCAAATAATGGAAGCAACTTCCATAGGCTTCTTTGACCCCGAGGGCCTGAGTCCTCTTTGCCTGTGTGTAGCACTTCCACCTACACAGAGTGCTAGCAGCTTGGAATGGTCCTGCTTTACATTCACTTTGCTCAGGAGTAGAGAGATGCCTATGTAGAGAGATGCACCAGGCAAGAGAGAATCGGTCTTGCCATTTTTATACTCGACATGTCAACTTTATTTCCAAGTGACACATCTGATCACAGACTTCGCCCAGTTTAGCCTGCCCTTGGCCTGAGAAGCACAGAGCTCACCACACACGCCAAACTTTTATGACGCATTTCTTTTTACAACTGAACAACCCTCCTCTGGCAGAATACCGTGAATCTAAGTCCTGTTAGGAGACTGGGACTGGCTAAAATAACTGCACTGTTATCAAAAAAAGAAGTCAGCAAAGAGAACAGATTTTTGCTGAGATCTCCTTGTCCGGGACTTCTAGGAAGCGCAATCTTCACAAAAATGATAGCACAATTAATATCATTTGGCTCCTGAGTTTTCCTTTGCAGAACATTCAGGATCTAGAAAAGACTGGCTCTGCTTTGCAATAGGACTAGTGAAACTCTGGAAACTGGATTAACAGGAACTGGCCCCTCTCAGAGGGATTCTCTGCATATTTATTTTGCTAAGAGAAATAATCTGAGCTCCAGGTTTTTATCCTGATCTCGAACAGCTGCACAAACTGAAAGTAAAAAGCGCATAGCAACAATGGCATAAGAGCGCAGCAGTTTTCCTGAGGTAAGGAAAAAAAATCATCACTGGTGTGGATTTCTTGGTTATCTAACAGCATAGGATGCAGTGATGCTGAGAGAGATGCAAAGAGCTGCCTGCAACCCCGTAAAGGGCTGAGATGGAGAACAGGCTCAGCAAACCCTAGAGCCTTTGATTGCTGTTATGAACTGGATTGTTTAAACAGATGTAGTTGGATGTTGGAAAACAAATAATCTATGTGTGTTGCTGAGCTGTAAAATCTGGCATTTTGAATAGACGAGGTTTCCAAAATGCATTTGTGTGAATTTAAATGAGGTTGTTTCGCTCCATAGGAGACTAAAAGTTTGTAATGTATTCCAGTCATGGCTCAAATCCCAAGCGTCTCCACCCATTTTGAAATTCATTGGAAAAGTCCTGATAGTCATAGGTGGCCAGCTAAGCTTTCAAAACAACTAGGGGTGCTACAACAAATATTTACTGTTACCACTATTTGAAAGTTCTGAACTTACTTTGGGCATTGCAGATTCAGTATGCTGGCAGTGCATCAGCACAAGATCCTGTAATACCATCACAGATGGCAGACACAACATGGCAGTACTCTGTGGAGAAAGGAAATGTCACCCCCATCCTCCAAAATTAGCAACGCTAGCCTCATTTCTGGCTGGAATTTTTTACTCAATCAGATTCTTAGTTTTGGTCTAAGCAGGAAAAGAGACGGTGCATTGTATTAAAGACACTGAACTGAATTCTGTTGTGCTCTGGATATAGATATTCTGGATTTACACCAGTCTAACAGAGGGTAGAATTTGGCCCACTATATATGTGCACTTTGTTTCCTGTGCACTTCAAGCACTGCAGTCAGCCCTGGAACAAGTGGCTTGATTTTCAAAAGTGCCGAGCGCCTCGGCAGTATTGCCAACCCCAAAGCATTCAGAAATCATGAGACGGGCCTAAAAAAAAAAAAATACATGTTGTGTTCTTTGTCTTCTGGTTTCTCAGCTTTCAGAGTGGACTCATGTTTTCAAACTCTTCTCTGCAGCGAGAAAGATTATTTGAAATGCACGATTTTAAAAGCAGAAGCTGAGATTGGCATGTATTCATGTGACATCAGGAGCTGCAGCTTTCATAAAAATGTCAAATCCACGAGGCATGTAATAAAAATCCAGTGTTGCCAGCTCTTGTCAAGTCACCCGTACGAGCCTAACTTCAGGCAACCGTTTGTAGAAGTCCTGGCATAGCATATTTCACTGCTTTCCCCCTCCCTTCTCGAGGGAACACCGTGCCAGCTTTCCAAGAGTCCTCAGCAGCCAGCACTCCCACTGAGAATAATAGGAGCTGTTGAGGCACTGAGTACATTTACAAAAGGCCGGTTCATTTAGGTACCTAAATGGGAACTCAGCTCTTTTGACAATCTTACTATCGTGAGACGAAGCACAAAGGTGTGAATGCCCCAAAGGAATTAGGCATCCACGTCCCAGTTTTGGGCACCAATGCAATGCAAACAACTCCAGCTAAAATCCTATAGGTGCCTAACCTCACTCAGCTCCTAAGTTTTTGCAGGAAAAGTTCCTTAGGCACTTACGTTTCTGCCTCTGAGCATGTGAACTCAGGGCCGGCTCTAGGTTTTTTGCCACCCCAAGCAAAAAATTTGCCGCCCCAAGCTCCGAGAGTGCAACTGTCCAAGCCAAAAAAAAAAAAAAATGGCAGGAAAGCCGCTCCTGGAATTGTGCTGCCCCAAGCACATGCTTGCTTTGCTGGTGCGTAGAGCCGGTCCTGTGTGCACTGCTGCCTCCTGGTGGGTGTCTGGGTGCTTAGCTCCCATATAAGCCTCAGAGAGATTCACAAACCAGGGCCACCTACTGGATCGGGTCCCTCAGGCAAGTTCACGGTGATGACAAACCCTTATAACTTTTAACCCCGTGGTTAGGGTACCCACCTGGCAGTCTTACCATGCCACCTCTACTGCTCCACTGTGGCTAGGCGGCGCTGCCTTCAGAGCTGGGTGCCCGGTCAGCAGCTGCTGCTCTCTGCCCTGCCTTCAGAGCTGGGTGTCCAGCCAGCAGCCGCTGCTCTCTGCTC